ACTCCAGAGTGATGAAAATATCAAAGCCTCTGTCTGCTTTTGACTAGAAAAGGTGAAACATAACCCCCATTTTTAAAAAGGGAAAAAAAGGAAGACCCAAGGAACTACAGGCCAGTCAAACTCACCTCTGTGCCTGGTAGGATCATGGAGTGGATCTTCCTGGTAACTATGCTAGGGCACATGGAAAATAAGGAGGTAACTGGCGACAGCCAACATGGCTGCACTAAGGGCAAACCATGTCTGACAAATTTGTTGGCCTTCTATGATGGGGTTACAGCATTGGTGGATAAAGGAAGAGCCTCTGACATCATCTGAAAAGCTTTTGACACAGTCTTGCACAACATGCTTAGTTCTGAATTGGAGAGACACTGACCTGACAGATGGATCACTCAGTGGATAAGGAATGGGCTGGATGGTCACACTCAAAGAGTTGTGGTCAATGGCTTGATGTCCAAATGGAGAGCAGTGGCATTTCTCAGGGGTTGGTGTTGGGACCAGCACTGTTTAATATCTTGCTGGTGCCATGGCCACAGTGACTGAGTGCATCCTCGGCTAGTTTGCCGATGACACCAAGCTGTGTGTGTGGTGTGGGAAGGGATGTGCCATCCAGAGTGACCTGGACAGGCTGGAGAGGTGGGCCTGTGCAAACCTTATGAAGTTCAACAAAGCCAAGTGCAAGGTCCTGCAAATGGGTCGGGGCAATCCCAAGCACGAATCCAGGCTGGGCGATGAGTGGATTAAGAGCAGCCCTGCGGAGAAGGATTTGGGGGTAGTAGTGGATGGAAAAGTAAATATGATCCAGCAAATTGTGCTCACAGCCCAGAAAGCCAACTGTGTCCTTGGCTCCATCAAGACAACTGTAGCCAGCAGGTCGAGGGAGGGGATTCTCCCCCTCTACTCTGCTCTCCTGAGACCCCACCTGAGTACTGTCTCCAGCTCTGGGACCCCAACATAGGAAGGACATGGACCTGCTCAAGCACATCCAGAGGAGGCCACGAAGATGCTCAGGGTGCTGGAGCACCTCCCTCATGAGGACAGGCTGAGAGAGTTGGGGTTGTTCAGCCTGGAGAAGAGAAGGCTCCAGGGAGACCTTACAGTGGCCTTCCAGTTCTTAAAGGGGCTACAGGAAAGATGGGGAGGGACTCTGCATCAGGGGGTGTAGGGATAGGATGAGGGGTAATGGTTTAAAACTGAAAGAGGGTGATTTAGTTTATATATAAGGAGGAAAATCTTCCCTGTGAGGAGGGTGAGGCCCTGGCACAGGTTGCCCAGAGAAGCTGTGGCTGCCCCCTCCCTGGCAGTGTTCAAGGCCAGGCTGGACGGGGCTCTGAGCAACCTGGGCTGGTGGGAGGTGTCCCTGCCCATGGCAGGGGGGATGGAACTAGATGATCTGTCATGTCCCTTTCAACCCAAACCATTTTGTGATTCTATGATTCTATCTGTAAAGTTTTTGGCCAAAATGCATTTATGGCAGCAGGATGAGGGGGAGGATGAGGGGAAGGGATTGTATCCTGCATCTATTTGGATTTTTTTTAGTTTTAAACAGCTGCCTAATGAAATTAATTAATCTTTCCAGAAATTACTGGGCTCACTTAGGTTCTTTGGTGATACAATCTTTCATAAAACCAATGAAAGAGCAAACTGAAGTTCTACATCTCTAATAAAATTGTCCAGCAAAACAGCAGCATCCTTTTCACTGAAAGACAAATTCTTTCAGCCTACTGATGATTCTTTTATGGTCATAAAAGTTTTGTTGAAAATAGTTGTTCACCAAGATAAACTCCCCATGTCCTGTACAGCAGTGTTGCAGAGAAACCAAAAGGGGTATATGTAAGTCTTCTTCCTTGTTACTAGTCAGCAGTTATGATGGTGGGAAAATAAAGGAAAACAGCTGCAGTTTATGCTGCTCCCCCACAAATACACATTCTCCTTTTTGAGCAACAGCTGCAAGAAAGGCTCAGTAATAGTGTACATGGTATTCTGAACCTGCACTCCAGAAAGAGCTGCAGGCATAACAGGATGTGTTTTAAATGCAACAATGAGGAGGCAGCATTTTGCTGTTTAGAAAAGAAGGAAGAAACATGAAAAATCCAAGATCATTCATAAACTCTGGCTTGTTCAACAATAGGTCCAGCTTGACTACTTCTGAGTACGTTACATGGAGTGGCTCTTTGGGAGGACCGTATTTTCCTTTCTTGTATGGGAGAGTATTACTTTGCTTCATGGCTTCAAGTGTAACACTTCATCTACTGATCCATATCCCGTCTTCACTGGTTGTGAATGTTATTACCTATTAGATATGTTTTCTATGCTTTGCTGAAACCTTTGTAGTTACCATTGACTGGAATCATCAGTTAAGAGCACAGTCTGGTCTTAGGGGTAGCTTGTTGCTTCTTGTTAATAGCTTATAAAGTTGAAGGGAATTTTATGATGGCCCAGGTGTCCACCTGGAGTAAGTAGGCTATTGAAAATGAGAGATATGTGGATTTCTATCTTGTGTTTTCTATTAATTGAGATTCTACTTTCTCTTGGTATCATCAAAAAAATATTGCACCTAGGTCTACATAGATTCTTTTCAGAGTTAGTCTAAAACTGATGGTTTTCTTATATGAAAATAACATTGCCCATTCGACTGTTTAGAGACAGAAGGGACACTTGTTCTGGGCTTGTCTTTCTCAGCAAATTCAAGCTCAGAAGAGTTTATATTCAGCTGTTCCATATAGTCTTTGCCTCAAGCACCAGGCTTCTCCCTTCCACTAATAGTTAGCAAGTTATTAAAAAAAAATTCAGTGCTTCATCATTTGCTATGACTAAATTAATTTTCTCCCACGCTGGTAAGTATACTCTCATGGACCTTACTGACTTTACTGTGCTAGCATTTTGCTGATTCTGCTCATGCTGCATCAGTGGCAGCGCTGAGTCAGCCTCCCTGTTACAAAGATCTGCCATTAAACCTTCTCCTTCAGCAGGGTCTCGTTATTAAAAAAATGAGACCTCTTTTCTAAAACCAGAGAGAAGACAATGGTAATTCAGATACTGTGCTGTGTGGCGCTACTCTACCAAGCATTGTGTGTTATTAAAACAAATTGCATTGTACAGTCATTGAACCTTTTTTCCTTCTTCCTGAAGTATGACCTTAACTTAATCCAGAGAAAGTTAGGGACTGGTTAAACTCCAGCTCAGAGCATTCCCAGAAGTCCTACAGGTCCTGCTTGCTATATTTGAGCTGCTACAAAGCAATGCTGCACTGAGCAGTGCACTGATAGGAACCAGTGCAAAATACCTGGGAACACCTGTGTAACTCCATGCTCCAGCTGCAGTCAGAATGGTTTAAATATCTGACTTAACCATAAGAGGAAAGTTTCATTTTGATGGCTTTGCATTATGTATTTGAACCTTTTATTGTTGTGTTGTAAATTCTTTGACTAAAGAAAGGCGGATTCTCACTGACTGATGCCCCTGAGGACATGTTGATTTGCCGCTTTATATCGATTTAACCTTAAATTTGGTCATTGTTTTTCATAGCCAAGAGTATGAAATTCTGCGCTATGTTGTAAATGCTAAATTGTTAACCACATTTAATCAGTTCATATTTGCTGTTTATTATCAGATCTGTTTGTTGTGGGATTTGGAGGTTTTTGTTTGTTTGGTTGGTTGGGTTTTTTTAAATCAGATTGGTCCAGCCCCTTTTGGATTTTATTAGCACTTAAATATTTTAAAAATGTGTGAAATCTGGATTTTGAAGAAATTATTAATGTTTTTTTAAATGGTAAATTAAACTAGTAAATATGATAAGAAAAATCTAAGAAAAGCTTTTCAAAACATGTTTTGCATTTACATTTTCCTTGTTAAAAAAAGTTCTTGCAGGTGCTGAATTTAGCTGATTATTCACCATGACCTTTAAGATCTTAAAGCTAGCTGATCTGAGCATCTCCACACTGCTTTTTACTTATAGACCAGAAGAAGATACAAACTTGCTGCATTTTTATTTTTTAATGCTTCTCTAAATAAAAGAGTTAGTTAATGGGCTAAATTTCACTAACTGTAATTTAAGAAAAAATTCCACTGCTTTTATAGCAGAAGTATGAAATATGCTTCATCAGTTTCATCCGAACCTGTTTAACAGCCTTGATTACTATTTTAATTTAAATAAATGTAAAAGATTAAAGTAAGCTTAGTCATTAATATGGGCTATGTATATCCAAGTTTGCATCTTTATTTAAAAATCCAATTTAACATAAAAAATTATTGGAGAGGTCTTTCATTTTTAACATGGTTGGTTTTGTCTTTAGACATACTTCACACTCAGCAGTGCCAGCAGCCCTGAAGAATGTCTTGTCCCTGCAGGAATTCACTGCTCATTCACTCCTTTTCCACTCCCAACATCTCATTTTACCAATGAATTAATTTGCTGCTGTGAAAAACACATGGCTGCACACCATCACACCAAGAATGACAAAGAAAAAGGAATATGCCCATCATGCCTTTTCCAGCAAAATGGCATGTTTCCATGTGCCACCCAATGAATATTTCTCAGATGCTTGCTTCTCAGAGCTACTCATGCATGGGTTTCCAGCAGGTGAGAGGAGGTGGGGTAGCAGGAACTGCAGGGGGGCCTGAGGAGAAGAGAAGGTGCATGGGAAGATGTGTGGGGGATTGACTGATGGTGAGGAAGGATTGAGCACTAGTTTTTCATCATCTTGCAGTGAACTGACAGGATTATTTAACAAGAACCCCAAGAGATGCACTTTTATTGAAGGTCTACATAATCCCAACCACTGCACAAGGCTTTCAAACATTTAGGAGGAGATGCTGCAGTAGTCAAGCAAACACAGTCTACACCAATAGGATATGCTGTGTAAACTACTCCCACCACGACAATCTCCTCACAGCTGAAGATGTGGCCCATCCCACTGAGCATGGTGTGCCATGAAGCATTATGTTCGAGTGCAGTGCGGATCCCTGTGCTTCCCACAAAGACGCGGTGGGAGGAGACTTACCCCTGCACTCTCCTCAGTTTTGGGACTTTCACAGAAGCATGGTCCTGGCGGGTCCCTTGGCAGCATATCCGATCCTCCCGTGCCTACAAAACCAAAGACATTTTATTGCCTATGGGAGAATATGCATGGCTGAGAGGTTGCTTTGCTTTGCTTGGATTTATTCCTACCAGCCACACTCTGTTGCCAGCCTGCTATCTTGTCAGTGTTGTTAAAGAAAGCAGAAAGGGTACAAAATCAATGACTGAAAAATATCTTTGCCGGCTGGAAACAGCCCTGTGTGCTGTGGAGAGGCAGCCACCACTGGGAGAAGATTCAGCGAGTGCTTAGAGAGTTAACACAGCACACTACAGCTCAGGAAGGACTTACTCGATTTCAGCCATGCAGTGGTGATCCCTGTCCCTAGGGTGGTGCCCAGTACCCGGGTCTGAGGCTGCCCTGGTCCCTGATGGGGTGATGGGATGGCCCTGGCTGTCAGGTCCAGCCTCGCCACCCACAGGGAACTCCCCAGACACTGGTTGCTCTCTGCTTGCCTGTGTTGCTGTGCTGAAGGTGTGCCTGTGCTCACACCATCCTTGGGATGAGCTTGTCCTGTCTTGGGGAGAAGCCAAAAAACTTTTCAGCACTTCTGTGTATCCCAAGGGAAGGGTAATTCAGAGCATCTTGGACCCTAACTAAGAGAATCTCATTAGTGAACACTGTTTGCCAGCCAGGCAGAAGTCACCACTGCTTATCGGGTGAGGTCAGGCTGCAGGCACAGCTTGCAAGGCATGATGCAGGCATCCTGTCTGGCAGAAGAACCTCTGCACTTCTATTTCTACATCAGGATTAAACTCTGAAGAAAGTAAGAACATATCCACCGATTTCACCTCCAGGGACAATCTTGCTTAAGCACAGCTAGCCACAGACAGCTGCTTGATTGCTTCTGGAATTTCCTTAACAATGGCAATAATTACAATAAATAATGACGAATTAGAGTCAGTGAATATTTTCTTAACTGTGAAATTAAATTATAGGGGTTACATGATCTCCTCTATAGAGGATAAGGATGTACAAAGATTTATATATCATCTCTAGTAACACTGTTGAATGTACATGTTCACACTGAGAATACATTGAATAACCTTCCGTGCTACCACAGCACTGTGTGCGCCTACTAAATTTGAAATATGGCCCATGTAATAATACAGCTTGAAATGGCTCTGCAGTTCTTGGTCAATACAAGGACAGATATTCATGCCCTCTGTTGCTAGTTCACTCTGTGATCTTGAGTGTGTCTCTTCAAACCACCACTGTTTGTGTATGCTCCACAGTTGTGTTATGATTACTTATGCAAATGGATCCGTGCATCAAAGATGCCCTTTGCTTATTCATTGCTCCAGCAGAGAGTGGCATTGCTTACAGTGTTAGATTGAGCTCTAGTCTACCTATGAATACACAGAGACGCTGACTATACCTGTATCTTTCTTTCTAGCAATGGGATTTCCTGCATTATTGGCAGTCTCAGATCTTTTGCCTTGGGTGAAGAATATTAAAAAGTGTCAGTGACACTCATGTGCCAAAATTCTGTAGGTGCTTTTAACTTTTTCAAGTACAGGTTATTTGGAGCTGACTGCTCTTCTTCCTACATGCTGACCTATGGTGTCCATGTAGTCCACAGAGCCAACAGGTAGCCCCCAGCAAGGTGTGGAGAGTACATTAAAGCCAGTGGAAGTGCATCATAGCAAAATTGGGACCTTTTTTTCTTGCTGTGCTCTCAGCACTCTGGAGAAGTCCACAAAGCTAGAAGTCTAATCTTGTGAGTTTACCACAGGATTGATCCCTCCTTTGCATTCATCTCTGCTGGGTTTTCCCTACAGTGTTGCTGCAGAGAAGTTTATTCTGTCCCAGTTTTTCTGCCTTTTAAAAAATTTTATTTTATTTCCAACTCACTTTAATAGTTTTACTCACGCTAATCTCAGGACAAAAGGACCTTCCTTGTTATACGTCTGTAGAGCATGTTAGCATAGTGGGCCTCTGATTGTCTACTGATAACTATGTGATTTTCTGCTATTCAAAGACAGATGTAAAATAGAGCTGTGTGCCTTTTTTTACCATTTGACTAAAGCATCCCTTCATACTCAGGTCTCCGTTCATATTTTCTTGCAATGTATTTGGAATTGCAAAGCCTTCAGTGTGTTGTCCTTGTGTGGATGCCTTGGTTTGCATGAGCAAGTAGCTGTGCAGTAGGAGTGGATCAGAGGATGGGAGCAGTTGGTACTGACATCTCTAGATCTAGATTATATTTCCAGGATTTAATGTCAGATTAGATTTAGTCTGGTTCCCTGGACTGAATGTTACCACAGTGTCAGAAGGAATAATACTTGATTTGAATATTTGTGTTTCCACTAGGGTTTGAAAAGTATTTCATGTAACCCTTAGAAGTTTCTGGTTTGGTTTCCTCCAGGACTCCTGCTTGCGACTCAACGGTCTCATCATGTAGTGTGAATCAGTCCACATCTGAACTAGTTGCAGGTGTGGCTGAGGCAAAAGGTATCAGCTCACTAAAAAACATACTCTGTTCTCTGCCAGTGCAGTCTATGACCACCAAGAAAGGGCAGTTGGTGACTGGGATGCTAAACGGAGATGAGGGTAGCCTAATTTTACACCTGTGCCACAACTAGCATTCTGCATAGCTCTTGGCAGTCACTGGTGTTGACTCAAGTTGTCACTACAAGTGATATTCACCACTGATACGGCAACACATGAAAGATTAAGAAGAGATCATTACAGCAATAACACATACACCTAACTAGGAAAAAATAATGAAAGTCCAAGGCCTAGCAATTAGAACACATAAGAAAAGGATAGATTTCTCCCAAATATCACAAAATTTTAGGTACCATAAGACTGAGTAGACTTCATCTCCACACTCTGTATTTGCTGACAGGCCATATCTGCCACAGCATGGACTTGATTTGCATGAAGGACCTGGCAACTTTATAATCACCCTTGGATTAAAAACAAAAAATCCCAAGCACATTCATATCCATGGGCACGCTGTAAAGGCTGCACATAGTACTAGTCATGCTGCCATTAGTTCTGAAAGTTCTATCGTTGTCTGTACAGCAGTGATGAAGTAACTCAACCAGAACAGCTGCAGGGCAGCTCCATCAGCACTATTGGGGCTCAGTGGCTTTTCATCCATCTCTCTGCATGCTAGCTCCACTTCTGTGTAGCACTGTGCTGACTTATTTGTTTCCTTTTATTTGATGTTGATTTCAACTGTGAATAGGTTTTGATGGATGACAGGAGTTTAACAATAAAGAGGAGAGGACAATGCAACGGGAATGAAGCTGAGCTAACAGTCTCTTTCCTTAAGAGAGTATCCATGCAGACTTGGGAGGGAAATCAAGGTGCAGATAATAAGAGGGAATTTGGGCTCTCAGCTCACCTACATTAGCCAGAAGAGAAAGGAATGAAAGTTGTCAAGACAGGAAGGATAAAATTTAAGTGAAAGAGGGAGATGCCCAGTACCTAGTGATGTCGTTGGCAGTAAAAGTGTGGAATATGGCTGAAAAATAGAGGTACTAATGAGGGATCTGGAAAATTGCTGTGCACACCCACTCATTGCTCTTAACAAGGGGAGACTTTAGCAGCTAGGTCCTGAATCTAAGCCCTTCGTGGGCTGTGCTGTGACTGTGGAGGAAGCATCTCTGTGTTGGTTAGCAGTGATCTGGAGCAGTAAACTCATCTCAAGAGTGCTTGCTCCATCCATCTCAGTCTGTCACCCTTTTGGGTTTTTGCTCTACTTCTATAGGATCTGAAGAAAGAAAGGAAACTAAGGTGCTATTCAGCTATCAAAATATGTGCACTTTCTACAGGGGCCCACAACTCTCTTAGAAAATTCTTCTCAAAAGTAAGGATTACCCAGAAACCATGGATTTAGGGTCTTAATTTTGCTTGTTGTTTTAGCAACAGATTGCTTTGTGTTTTCAGCATATAGGCTCTCATTGCTATGTTGTTAAGCTGGTAGAAAACAACTCCAAGCCCTGTACCATACAACAATTATCAAGGATAGGCTGTATCCACCTGAAACCTGTCAGCCCACATCCTCTTGCAAAAGAAACTGGTGCAGTACAGGGGCAGGTCGTAGCATAAAACAACCTGAATCAGGGAACACTTAGGGCAAAGATTTTTCTCCTCAGAGGAAAAGGTAGTTAAGTGCTTATGATCATTCACCAGAAAAACTCCTGCAGTGATCAAATACCACTAAATCAAGCCTTCCTCATTTCTCACAAGATAGTCATTTATACCTGCTATGAAAGGTTAGGGCATAGTCAAATGTTCGCTTGCATGGCAGCTGGAGCAGTTTAAGATTTATTATCCTCTTCCACTGAGGTTGTTTGCGGGAGCACTTTTTGTCCTTTTCAGAGCCAAGGGAGATTGCACCCCTGCACCGAAAGGACATATTACTGCTCCCAATTTGTTCCTCTCTGCCTGCTGGAGGGTGCAGCCATATCAGATGTGCCAGTCGGTCTGTTGCTCACCAGAGTGTGTCCTGCCCTGTTATAATTGTAAGGGAACAGGTCAGTTCCAAACACATAAATCCTGGATCATCACTAAACGGGTCCATTTGGTCTTGAACAGGCCAAGGAAGCAATTTGTTAGAGAAACTATTTTCACTTGACTTGAACCACAGGGAATCCTGCTGTTTCTCAGTCTGCTTTCTTTCAGCTACATATGACTTGTCATTAAAAATGAAAGCCAAACTGTGTCCTCGTGTTGCTGTCTTGGCAATGCCCAGCTGAGCCAGCAGACAGATGCCATGTTAAACTACAAAGCAGAGTTTTTCAACAGTTATTCCTGTGAATAATAGAAGGTCATTCAGAAAAATAAAATTCTCAAAGAAGGAGAGGGAGAGAAAAAAAGAGACACAGTCTAGGAAAAAAAGGACTTTCAGCAAGAGTGCTGACATGTTTATTTATTGAATTATTCAAGATTATTTATTAAAATGGCTTGACCTTACAGAGTTCGTATTGGAAGAGGTCACATATCAGTATGAAGACAAAGGCTTAACTCAAGTGGTGAAGAAAGCCACTCATTT